CTGTTTCATGCGTACTATATACCTCCCTCCCCCCTCGACTGCCAGGGCATATCGTTGTTGGGGAATCCCCAATAGGGGGGATCGTATTTGGGCTGGGAAAAATTTATTTTGATAGTTGATTTTTCTCGCTTCATGGACGTTGTAAAGGGGGGGGGGTCGTACTTGGTCATTTTTGGGAGGGGGGGTCGTATTTACGTTTTGGCGTTGTAGGGAGTGGTGGTTGACTTTTGGTGATTTTCCTGTTTCATGCGTACTATATGCCCCCCCCGCTCGACGGCTCGATTCGATGAGGAAGGACAGAGGGCTGGGGGGGGGTCGTATTTACGTTTTGGCGTTGTAGGGAGTGGTGGTTGACTTTTGGTGATTTTCCTGTTTCATGCGTACTATATGCCCCCCCCCGCTCGACGGCTCGATTCGATGAGGAAGGACAGAGGGCTGGGGGGGGGTCGTACAGACTCGACTAAAATCCCCAACCAATGATGTGCCCTGATAAAACCCCAAATAAGACGCAACCTTCAAAAAAGCAGGACAGTGCGCCTGAACTCGTCTGCTTTTCAGGTGAATAGGACGAACTCCATTGGCGTCATATCCTACGTCGTGTACTCGTGCCTGCCTACACAGGTACATATGTTTCCGCCCATTTTTGTACGACTTAGATCGTCTTTTTGAGAACGTGGAGAATGTCGTTTTTTCCAAGGCATACTTCCACGCCTAGAGGAAATTACGACAAGGTATACGCCGGAACTTCGATACTAGAAAAAATTCACCTCAAATGTTGCGATGTTGCTGAAACATCCACGAAATACCGAAAAATCAGGTGAAATCTCATTTTCACTACGGTGTGAACTTCCGCAATGATTAGCCAAATCCGACTGACTATAAAAACGTTCACCACATACCGGACATACAACGCTTAATATTCGAGCTGGTTCTTTTGCATGAAATCGCTAAATTATCGAGGCTCTTACAAGTACAGCACAACAGCGGAAATGAACAGAACCTGTTTGTGCCTTCCTAAGCTGTTTTTCGAGCTGTATACATTGTTACATTCGTCGCATACTACCAGGTTTTGGTTTGTAACAGCTTTTATGCGAATTTTTTCCATTTCAAGTCGCTCCTCACTCCAAGCATGATGTTTTCTCAAATGCTTGTAAAGATTCGACAAATTCTGAGGACCTGCGCCGCACACGATGCACGACTCAAGGTGCATCTAGAAAAGTGCAAATCTGCGAATGGCGTCATAGAGTGAATCGTTTACACGAACGCGATCAAAGTTAGTAAGAAAACACAATTTGTACAGTCTTCATCATTGCGGACTGTCGGGGCGGCTGGCCGCGCTGCACTGTGACGCGACAGCGGCTGCGGCTCGGTGACGGCGAATCAGCTGATTTCGATGGAATTCGGCTGCAAATTCCCACTTTTTCAGCTCTTCAAGCTTCGAAAGTGGAAGGTGAGTTATTTTGAACAATTTTAAATTGTACTGGCTCTAATTTCCTTTATTTTTATGTCTATTATTATGCTCTTTTTGTATTTTGCCTTATTTCAGGCATTTATTCAAATGGCTTGCATTCTTTCAGATTCATTCAGAGTCAGTACAATTTAAAATTGCTCAAAATGACTCACTTCCACTTTCGAAGCTTGAAGAGCTGAGAAAAATGGAAATTTGCAGCCGAATTCCATCGAAATCAGCTGATTCGCCGTCATCGAGCCGCAGCCGCTATCACG